TATTGACGGCCAGCTGTCAGAAAAAACTGATCTCTCATTCGGTGTATCTCAGGGATGTGTTTTAGGCCCCGTGTTATTTACCGTATATACAATCCCTCTAAGTGACATTGCAAGAAAGCACAACATCCAATATCATCCGTACGCTGATGACACGCAGATATATACTGCCTTTAAAAACACAGTCCGTTAAAGCATCGTTCCAGAAAGTCCAGGAATGTGTTGAACAAATGAGACTGATCGTTTTACGCCGCTTTTAGCAATATTCCAGCAATATCACGGCGGGGAACCAGAAATGGGCTTCACTCATTGTACTCCATGAATGAACCCGGGTCTTCGGCGTGACGAGAACAAATGAGAAGTTGGATGACATGTAACCACCTCAAAATGAAGGAAGACACAATAGAACTGTTGATATTCTGTCGACCTAGAGTCTCACTGCCACAAGTCAAATTTGGCGATTGTGAGATCACACCAAGCTCTGAAGTACGTAACCTAGGAGTCATTTTTGACAGTCAGATTAATTTTGAGTCACATGTCAACCTCATCTCCAAGCAAGCCTACCATAACATCCGCAACCTTGGACTTATAAGACGAGATATCAACATGCACTGGTAACATCACGCCTCGACTATTGTAATTCTCTTCTCTTGGGAATCACAAATCAACAACCGAAGAAACGACGAAGAGGAACACTTTTTTATGGTTAGACAACTTCTTTATTGCAAAAGATGCAAATAATCTACACAAGGACCAGAACACTTCTGCCAGGGTTGTTAGCAAACAAAGAAGTATGACCATATGACACCGGTCCTGCAACACCTCCACTGGTTACCAGTGAGGTACCGTATTCAGTATAACATACTGGTACTGGTGTTCAAGTGCCTGGATGGATCAGCTCCGTCTTGCCTGTCCAGTCTTATTCACAGATACCAGCCACATCGCTCACTCACATCCAAAGAGAAGCTTCAACTGCAGGTACCAACATCCCGCACAAAGACCTTTCGCGAAAGGGCCTTTGAATATGCCGGACCATACTTGTGGAATGAACTGCCAATCCATATCAAATCCCAGACCACTCTCACTGGATTCAAATCAAAACTCAAGACACTTTTTCAACTAAGCTCTTGATCAGTGAAATTCTAGATAGATAGACAGCTAGATAGGTAGATAGGTAGGTAGACAAATAGATGGATGGATGGATGATGGATGGATGGATGGATAGATCCTGGTATTCCATTCCAGATCTTTCTTTCTAAATCTAGCACAAGTCTAAATATAGCACACCACGGCCCCTTACTAAATCTACATGATAAATGTATAACAGATGAAGCATTGTTGCACAAGGTATAACACTGCCACATATGATTGATGACGTATGACTTCAGCTTGTACGAGTGCGACGTCAAACAAACATGCCCATGTCTGATTCCTGTGTGTTCCAGGTTGCTCCCCTTTAACTGCAGTCAATGGTGTATATTTGGATACGTGGAAGTGAACGACTGTCCAACGTGTAGCTGTTGCTCTCTACCACCGTGTCCCCTCCTACCATCGACGTGTGTCCCCGCAGCTTCAAATACGTCAACGGCTGTCCAACGTGCCTTTGCTACTAACGACGACTACAATTATGGTCGCCGAAATATGCATACGGTCTTTGGATGTTTAGAAAATTTATATGCAATTCTTTTGTTCCGAGTGATTTATATATGCAATGTGTTGTTCGGAATGATATATACGTTAAATAGTTATAGTTCTCAATGATTGTTCGGAATGTATAATATACATGTATATGATGATATGTTTTAAATGATTTCTATATGCAGTTTGCTCTTAATGCTGCATATATGCAATAGTTTGCTCAGAATGTTTATGTGTATTCCATGATTTGTTCTGAATGATTTATATGTATTCAAATACCCGCTGAAACATATAACATTATGAAATATAACTTATAAATGACCTTTTCTGTGTGAGATATTCTTTGTGATATATACAATGGACGACTCCATAGGTTATAGTTAGTGCATTCACATCAGGTGTATATTACTTTATTTAAGTGGTTCATCAAGGTAAGTGAGTGAGGAGTGAGTGAGTTAGTTTGGTTTAGTTTGACACTTACTTCATGGAATGTCTGTTAGATCTGGGAAGAAAACATGAAGTAATACTTGTTTCTGTTTGCCAGTTGTGTTAAACCAACGACCTCTGACATGGTGCTGTCAAACCATTGTGGATCTGTCTTACCTGAGGGACCGTCCATAATTTATGGCTGGAGGGTTGGACTTGTGTGTGTGTGTGTGTGTGTGTGTGTGTACAGAGAGAGAGAGAGAGAGAGAGAGAGAGAGAGAGAGAGAGAGAGAGAGAGAGAGAGAGAGAGAGAGAGAGAGAGAGAGAGAGAGAGAGAGAGAGAGAGAGAGAGAGAGAGAGATGATTTTTTCTGGGTCACCCATTTTGTTCTGGGGAAAGTGGGGGTCATCAATTTTGTACACATGTACTAGAGGAGAGGTCAGCAATTATTGTTCATGCTACTCCATAAAAATCATCATCCTTATCCCCCCAACACACACATACACACCATAAATAATGAACGGACGCTAAAAGATGGAAACCTGCACCGCAAACTGACTTGTTGGAGGAACATACTGAGATTATAAAATTTGCCATATTCATTCACATATCAGTGATTTATGTTGTTCTGATTTGTTTGGCTTCTCAAAGAAGAAGGTATGTAAAAGCAACAAAACACTTTCCATTGTCATATTCCGACCATGTTTTGTTTATCAGCAGTGATGATACCAGGTGCCTACAGTGAAAAGGACCTCTTCTGCCCCTCCACGAAACCCAATTATCCTACCTCCACATAACATACAAACAAAATAGACACTCGCCCCCAACCCCAAAAGACAGAACCAAACAAAAACATAAGAAACAAAGTAAAGCAGAAAAAGGACTACATAAAATGTACACACACACCCCACACAAAAGAAAAAATAAAATAAAAATAATAATAAATAAAAATAAATTTTTGTTTGTTGTTGAAAATATTAATAAACAAAATGAATGAATAAATGTAGTGTATGTATGTATGTATGTATGTATGTATGTATGTATGTATGTATGTATGTATGTATGTATGTATGTATGTATGTATGTATGTATGTATGTATGTATGTATGTATGTATGTATGTATGTATGAATGAATGAATAATAATAAAAATAGAAATAACAGACAATAAACCCATGGAATACCCACAGGTACTGAAAAAAATACACAGGGACACAAATAAATCCAAAATGGGGAATTAAACGGTTGACGCTGATGTAGCAAATTTAGAGTGAGTGAGTGAGTGAGTGAGTGAGTGAGTGAGTGAGCTAAATATTAAAGTCACATCTTCACTATTTCAGCCATATCGGGACCACGTCAAATTCAGATCTTCATAAACCATTTTGAAGGTGGTATGACACTTTTAGAAATCTTCGGAGAAAGAGCATACCTCACAAGTAATGGATTGTGCATACCAAATGTTGAAGCTGTTGGTATATCGCTTTATTGTCAGGCAAAACAAACTTCTATTGTGCGGCAAATTTTACCGGCAGGAAGAATGTATTTACCCTTTTTAGTGAACACCTGGTGTCAACTCGAGTTTCAGCGGTCCATTCACATAATTTTCACAGCTGTTTCCTTTATACTCTAAAGGAATATGTGTTCCTGTTGATAGTATGGTAGCCTTTTTAGGGACATGTGTTTTTCTTTCTTTTTCTTGAAATTTCAAGATGCTTAGTTGAAATTTCAAGATGCATTAAGTTGGGGCATGGTGGGCGAGCTGGCTAAGGCGCCAGGCTAGTGATCCAGCGGCCATGACGTGCGGGGTCGAGCCCTTAAGTGACCGGGTGTAAAACCTTGCAATCAACTATGTGTGCAGAGTCTTTCAGTGTTGTCACAGCCCCTAGTGTACAGTACACAACCCTATGCACTTAAAAGAACCCACGAATCCGTTGGTATATGACCAGATGGTGGCCACATGAATACATGCAAAAACCTAGTTGCGGGTAGCAATGTGCAGTAAACTTGGACAAAGTACTGTGACTATGTGTCCCAGTGCATCCAGCTGTGAATGGGTACCTCGTAAGGATGGGAGAGCTGCAATACCTCGGTGCGCCTAGTGGTAGCAACAGTTGTATGATCCCCAGGGAGTTGAGATTGAAGATAAGATGTGCCATTGAGATTGACTTCTAATGATCGAGGGAAAAAATACCAGCGTCTTGAGCATGCACTAGTGCGTGGATATGTGCGCTATAGAAATATCCTATAAAAAAATTAAGAAATGATCTTGAAATTTCAAGATGGTAAGTTTAAATTTCAACTTAGTATCTTGAAATTTCAGCTTAGTATCTTGAAATATTAAGAAAAAAAAAAAAAGACTGAATGGCTCTAAAAGGGTTACGAGGGTATCACAGTTTGAACTGCGCGTAGTTAGGCAGTTTAAACATAAATGCAAAATATAATTTAAGTCAACCCATAATTCCATTTCATTTCGGCTCACCAAGCACATATTTACGGTGGCATAATAGGGCCATGTGGGTTTTTTTCCTTGAAATGTGAAGTAGTGGGTTGAAATTTCAAGATTGTAAGTTGAAATTTCAAGATGGCGATCTTGAAATTTCAAGTTAATAAGTTGAAATTTCAAGATATTTTACTTGAAATTTCTAGTTAACATCTTGAAATTTCAGCTTACAATCTGGAACTTTGAAGAAAAAAAACAGAAAAAAAAAAAGATGGCCCTATTATGCCACCGTACATATTTCCTTGAGGTAATAGTTCTTTCGACACAATGTGACGTGCAATGTGGACCACACGCTTCACGCATGGAACCCGGACCTCTGGTTTAAGAAGCGAACCGTTTGACCGCTGGGTTAGAAGACCGCTCCTGTTCGCTATGTTATAGTCTAAACACCGTTTAACAATAGTCCGTTTTATTACATAGTATTTACAAATACGAGAAGAGATTATTTCACGTGGACTTTATTTAGTATTGTTCATGAAAATAAATCTGAAAAGGTGTCAGTAAAAAATTAAGATTGTACAATATGTAAAAACTTCCACATATATAACACGAAAATATACAAATCTGTACCACAGCAACTTCGGATAATGGATATGCGTCTCGGTTTCTATTCAATAGCAGCTGAAATTTAAAAGTAACAAGGTGAAGAATGACGAATGTCTGGTCATAGATATATGAATTGTTGCTTACATAAAAAGAAACAAAAAAACAACAGAAAAAGAACAAAAACAAAAGCAAAAACACACACACACAAAATACCACAATCATTAGAAACTATAACTCACTCGAACCTGGTCCAGCTAATGAAGTCATTTTCGGAAATCGGAAGTAAGCTGGGCCCCGTCTCGCATATCGCGCGAGCAAAGGGAGCCAGGAACCAGCTTAGTGCCGGAAGTAGCGCATCGCGAGACTTTATAAGCACAGACTGGGAACAGTCTGTAGTTACAAATACCACCCAGAAATGATACTTTAATGACAAAATAAACTGAGCAATTATTTGCACCTTTGAACTGGTGCAACAGGAAATATGAGTGAGTGAGTGAGTGAGTGAGTGAGTGTAATCGTCCTGTCGGAGGAAAGCTAATAAGCCTGTTACTATTGCGAAAAAACGAGTACGGAGATGGAGCCATGGCGAGTCTGGGATTCGATGAACACAGTATCCAGCACGCCTAAGGCACACAACTCTGCACTGCGGATTGCAGTGCCACATGCGGCCCAAGGGTGCTCCCCGAATACAAGTACCATTACTATACATTTTGAAGTGATTCGTATTAAATATGTTGATGTCAATCAAATATAATAAAAAACAAAACCACGTATTTCTGGAGTGAGTGAGTGAGTGAGTGAGTGAGTGAGGTTTTAATTCGCTTTAGCAATATTCCCGCAATATCACGGCGGGGGACGCAGATGTTCCTAAGAATAGAATATATATCTTCCCCTTTATTGGCATGTATTGAGGCCCTCCACTCTGTAGAAAGACTCACACCCAAACTGATACACCATATCATTCAAATGCTGTCAACAACTACATTCTGGAAATGCCCCACGCTTCTCCACAGAGTGAATACATACCATTTGAAAAAGTAGGGGATATTGAATTTACAAGATTGATAAAATGCAAATGATGAAACCAAGGAGGAAACAGATGATGAAGAGAAATCAAGGGAAAATGTGACAATTTATTCCATTCCTTTGGAAAAGTTTCATCTGTATGGATATATATAACTTTTACCCATATGCATTGGCATTGGCTCGTGTAATGCTCGCAAAATGGAATATCCCCTACTTTTTTTGAATGGTATACATACACGTGTAGATAAAACACAACGCATGGTGGGAGAATGTATAGTCACTGACTCAGCATTCACCTGATGAAGGAGCAAGAGTTTGCTCTGAAACGTCGTAAAAAATATATAAAGAAACTGTTATCCATGAAACTTGTCATGTATTCATGTTCGCCCAATTTTAAATGCCTTACAAGAACGTTACGTTTAAAACATCTCGTGTACGTGAACAACGTGCAATACTCACCAAAACGTGACCTTCGTCTGCACATGCATGTCGGACATCCTCTACGACCTCTGTACGGATGGCATACCCTGACAGGCAGCGCCTCCTGCATTGGTTGCTGGACCAAGGGGACACAACCGAGGCTTACAAGAACACGTGGGGCAACCGTTTACTTTCTGCACGCCAAAACGGCACGCCTGGAGCAGGGAGCAGCGTATCTTGGGGCAGGTGCTTGGACCTACAAGTAGAAGAGTAATCGGTGAGTGAGTGTGTAGGGTTCAACAACGCTTTCATAAGTCTTTATGGTAAATTCAAGATCACAGGGGCTTGTAACGCTAAAACTGCCATCAAGGTATGTGCTGTCACTAACGGGGTCTTATCACTATATAAAAGGAAAGGGATGTAACGAGGTCAACACACCAAGTTCGTTTCAGGGCGAATTCAACAATGTTCACTGTATCTGTCCCATTTAAAGTATGCACACATTTCAAGCCAATATATTTACCTACAAAATAAGACATAGAGAACGAAAATCGAAGCATTACTTTGGGAGCTAGGGTCTTCGGAAGCTAGAATAATCGTGATTTCTCGATTCCGATCCAAAATCCCTGCTCAGAATTTGTAGCGGTAACTCACCCATTTTCTTGTTTATTTCACAGTATACACATACGACATGCACCAAAACATGTTGAACTGATGGCGCCTTTCAGCGCGCTAGTCGCCATTCTTTCGGAGACATTTACATCTAACTGTCATAATGAGTTTACGTACATTTATTCATCGCAAACAGAATCATGTCGTGCCCGTTCGCCATTGACGTCCTTGGCCTTAACCTGCCCCGCACTTAAAAGAGCCAGGGAGCTCATTGGCTAAAAATAAAATATGTCCCATCAAATCGCTGACTCTTTTAAGTGCGGGGCAGGTTAAGGCCAAGGTCGTCAATGGCGAACGGGTACGACACAATTCTGTCGATTTTCGTTCTCGATGTCTTATTTCCTCGTTACATCCCTTTCCTTTATATAGTGATAAGACCCCGTTAGTGACAGCACATACCTTGATGGCAGTTTTTAGCGTTACAAGTCCCTGTGATCAAGACGTACTAGTTCTTTCGAACCCACGAGCATAGGGTCTTGGCAAGTCAAAGGGACACAACTCTACTATGCGAATTGCAGACCCTTACACCGACACGAACGATACTTTCAGGCGCATTTGACTGTCTGTGAACACCTCAGATGGGAGCATTGCTTAGGACTTGGGAGTAGTCGCGCTACCGATGCACAAAGAATGAGTGAGTGAGCTTCGTTTTAAGCCGCTTTTATCAATGTTCCAGCAAAATCACGACGGTGGACACCAGAAATGGGCTTGAGACATTGTACCTATGTGGAAATCGAACCAGGTCTTCGGCATGACGAGGATGTCCCACCGCCACACTGTTTAAATTAAAACATACCTGGATTGCACAGACATGATTGACAACCATTGACCATTTTAAAGCCGTTCTTGCATATCCTGAAACAACGGCGCTTTGGACACACTGGACCTGCAATGTTAGAGTGAGTGAGTGAGTGAGTGTTGGTGAGTGAGTGAGTGGCACTTTTAGCTATATTTAAGCAATATCACGGCGGGAGACATCAGAAATTGACTTCACATATTGTAACCATGTGGGGAATCGAACCCGGGTGTTCGGCGTGACGAGCGAACGCTTTGACCACTAGGCTACCCAGGTGTGAGTGCAATCGGACATCACATGTAATATAGCAATACCGCCACGCACCGAATTAGACAGCGCTGGTTACTGTATAAACACATTCAGGGGGCTCATTTCATGCCGAGAACTGTCATTGACAGCTGTCGGATGCACACCTTTTAAATGAGGATAAATGTACTAGTCATGGACGGGACTGAGTTTTTATGCTGCTGTTGACAACTTGCCGGATTGGACAACTGCCGGTTTTGACAGCTTCCACTGCAGATAGAAGGATTCACAATAATCATTTAGATTCGGCTTTAAGAAATTGAATGTTAACGGTTGTAAGAACCGCCACTGGCCCTACAATCAGTGAGAATAGAATAGAATAGAATAGAATAGAATAGAATAGAATAGAATACAATACAATACAATACAATACAATACAATACAATACAATACAATACAATAATTCCGCCAATACAGCTACTGACACATCAGAGAGATAAAGTACGTTATTTTACATAAATTCGTGAATTCACATTTGTTTAAGAGAGATATGGTACTTGGAATAAAGGATGTACGGGCTCTCTTAGTTTTCACAACTGGAACTTTGTAGCGGCGGCCTGAAGGGAGGAAGTTGTATTCCGTTTTTGAGTAGTGAGTTGGGTCCGACATAATTTTGACAGCTTGATTAACGATTTGCCGCTCATATATTGAGGAAATTCAAATTTGACCCCAGCGACTTTACTTTCAGTAAAATGCTACATAAAATGATAATATCACAGATGGGTTAAAATAAAAAGATCTGAGTTCTTGATGACATGAAGACATTGCTGAACTTGTTGAACTAGATTTGAAGCTAAGAGTCTGTGACGATATTTCTTATATTATCATTCAGGACCTTTCGATCTTTCGAACCCGTGAAAATCCAGGTTAGAATGGGTCGTCAGCAACCCAAGCTTCTCGTAAAAGGCACCTAACGGGATCGGGTGGTCAGAGTCACTGACTTGAGTTGATACATGGGAAGGGAGGGGCATCCCAACCGTTGTTCATGCTGTTGATCACGGTTTGGATTATTTACAGACCGCCGCCATATATTGCTGAAAACTGAAAGACAACCAACCAACCACGCTCTTTCGAACAATTTCCTTACCAGAGTTGCAGGAACACGAAGGACAGCCATTTATTATCTTGACGCCATAAGCACACTTGATAGCGACATCTGGTGGGCACCCGACCTTGGAGCAATCGGCAGGGCCTGGAGGAGAAATATATACTGTAGAACAATGCAAGGAGGAGACATATGTACTGTAGAACAATGCAAGGATGAGAAATATATTCAAGGAGGAGAAACATGTAGAACAATGCAAGGAGGAGAAATATATTTGCAGAACAATGCAAGGATGAGAAATATATCCTGTAGAACAATGCAAGGAGGAGAAAGATATACTGTAGAACAAATGCAAGGAGGAGAATATATCCAAGGGAGGAAGAAACATGTAGAACAATGCAAGGAGGAGAATATATTGTGTGTAGAACAATGCAAGCATGGAGAAATATATCCTGTAGAATAATGCAAGGAGGAGGAGAATATATCTGTGTAGAACAACTGCAAGGAGGAGATATATATTCTGTAGAACAATACAAGGAGGAGAAATATACTGAAGAACAATGCAAGGGAGGAGAAACATATTCTGTAGAACAATGAGGAGAAATATATTCTGGTGGTAGAACAACGCAAAGGAGGAGAATATATTCTGTAGAACAATGCAAGGAGGAGAATATATTCTGTAGAACAATGCAAGGAGGAGAAATATATTCAATGTAGAACAATGCAAGAGGAGAAATATATGCTGCAGAACAACAGCAAGAAGGAGAAATATATAACTGTAGAACAATGCAAGGAGGAGAAATATATTCTGTAGAACAATGCAAGGATGAGAAATATATATTCTAGAACTATGCAAGGAGGAGAAATATATTCTAATGGGAACAATGCAAATGAGGAGAAATATATTCTGTAGAACAATGCAAGGAGGAGAAATATACTGTAGAAACAATGCAAGGAGGAGAAATATATTCTGTAGAATAATGCAAGGAGGAGAATATATTCTGTAGAACAATGCAAGGAGAAGAATATATTCTGTAGAACAATGCAAGGAGGAGAATATATTCTGTAGAACAATGCAAGGAGGAGAAATATATTCTGTAAAACAATGCAAGGAGGAGAATATATTCTGTAGAACAATGCAAGGAGGAGAAATATATTCTGTAGAACAATGCAAGGATGAGAAATATATTCTGTAGAACTATGCAAGGAGAAGAAATATATTCTGTAGAACAATGCAATGAGGAGAATATATTCTGTAGAACAATGCAAGGAGAAGAAATATATTCTGTAGAACGCTACAAGGAGAAATATATACCATAGAACAAGCAATGGGGAGAAATATATTCTGTAGAACAATGCAATGAGGAGAAATATATTCTGTAGAACAATGCAAGGAGGAGAAATATATACTGTGGAACAATGCAAGGAGGAGAAATATATTCTGTAGAACAATGCAAGGAGGAGAAATATATACTGTAGAACAATGCAAGGAGGAGAAATATATTCTGTAGAACAATGCAAGGAGGAGAATATATTCTGTAGAACAATGCAAGGAGAAGAATATATTCTGTAGAACAATGCAAGGAGGAGAATATATTCTGTAGAACAATGCAAGGAGGAGAAATATATTCTGTAAAACAATGCAAGGAGGAGAATATATTCTGTAGAACAATGCAAGGAGGAGAAATATATTCTGTAGAACAATGCAAGGATGAGAAATATATTCTGTAGAACTATGCAAGGAGGAGAAATATATTCTGTAGAACAATGCAATGAGGAGAATATATTCTGTAGAACAATGCAAGGAGAAGAAATATATTCTGTAGAACGCTACAAGGAGAAATATTTACCATAGAACAAGCAATGGGAAGAAATATATTCTGTAGAACAATGCAAGGAGGAGAATATATTCTGTAGAGCAATGCAAGGAGAAGAATATATTCTGTAGAACAATGCAACGAGGAGAATATATTCTGTAGAACAATGCAAGGAGGAGAAATATATTCTGTAGAACAATGCAAGGAGGAGAATATATTCTGTAGAACAATGCAAGGAGGAGAAATATATTCTGTAGAACAATGCAAGGATGAGAAATATATTCTGTAGAACAATGCAAGGTGGAGAAATATATTCTGTAGAACAATGCAAGGAGGAGAATATATTCTGTAGAACAATGCAAGGAGAAGAATATATTCTGTAGAACAATGCAAGGAGGAGAAATATATACTGTAGAACAATGCAATGAGGAGAATATATTCTGCAGATCAATGCAAGGAGGAGAAATATATTCTGTAGAACAATGCAAGGAGGAAAATATATTCTGTAGAACAATGCAAGGAGGAGAAATATATTCTGTAGAACAATGCAAGGAGGAGAATATATTCTGTAGAACAATGCAAGGAGAAGAATATATTCTGTAGAACAATGCAAGGAGGAGAAATATATTCTGTAGAACAATGCAATGAGGAGAATATATTCTGCAGATCAATGCAAGGATGAGAAATATATACTGTAGAACAGTACAAGGAGGAGAAATATATTCTGTAGAACAATGCAAGGAGGAGAATATATCCTGAACAAGAAGATATGGGGTACGGTTAGGGAGGATGGGAAGATATGGGGTACGGATGGGGAGGATGGGAAGAGATGGGGTACGGATGGAAAAGGTGGGAAGGGGGGAATACGGTTGGGGAAGATGGGAAAAGGGGGGTACGTATACGGGTGGAGAGGATGGGAAGGGAAAGGGTACTGTTGCAGAAGAAGATGGGAAGGGGAATAGGAATGACAATGCGAAGGATTTGAACAGAAGAGGAACGAAAGAGCATCTGTAGCATCGGTATTATCCATAATATCGAAAATGAATATCACGTTTAGATAATTAAATGCTTATTTGTTTAAAGCAGATGAGCATATCACAATATCGAACACTAGTGATTATTTCAGAAATCATAAAATCATGTCTGGTTGTCAGAAAACACACTCACCAGGATTACACTCACACGTGGGGCAACCGTTCACTTTCTTTACCCCAAAACGACATTCGATTGGTCGAGCACAGCGACGTAAGGGGCAGATTGACGGTCCTGTAATAGTTGATAGACACACCAATAAACACGAACGAACTGGAAATAGGGCCCGTAAGTAGGTCACGGCACTTCGCGAGACCTCAGTACTTCAGGTGACAAACAACGTTTCATACCTTTTCGAATGGTCTCATGGTTGTCGGTTTTTGACAGTAAGGAACCGATAATCCTTGCAGGAATGACAAATTTCCGATCTAACCATCCCCAAGTTAGCCAACTATTCCGACTGTCAACAGCTGTCACAGCCAAGCATGGTAGTACACTTGGTCCGGTGTTGTAAGTTCATATTTGGCACAATTTGGTACTGGTTCTTGAATTTACACTTGTCACTGGAAATCTGGCAACGGAAGTAAGCTGGGCCCCGTCTCGCATATCGCGCAATCAAAGGGAGCCAGGAACCAGCTTAGTGCCGGAAGTAGCGCATTGCGAGACTTACAGACCCTATAAGCACAGACTGGGAACAGTCTGTAGTTACAAATACAACCCAGAAATGATACTTTAATGACAAAATGAACTGAGCAATTATTTGCACCTTTGCACTGGTGCAACAGGATAGATCCAGATATCCTAGCAGCAGGAACATCTGACGGAGGTTACGGTTATAGGAGCTTACCACATGGTCGACAACGACACGTTGGACATCCTCTCTCATCAGGGATATTCCCACATTTACAGAAGATTGCGCACACGGGACCACACACCGGTCTTTTCTGGGACAGAGACACCGCAGGAACGTTAGCTGCACCTGAAATATGAGTGAGTGAGTGAGTGAGTGAGTGAGTGAGTGAGTGAGTGTCATCGTCCTGTCGGAGGAAAGCTAATAAGCCTATCTCAGACTGTTACTATCCCGAAACATGGCGAGTCTGGGATTCGATGAACACAGTATCCAGCACGCCTAAGGGACACAACTCTGTAATGCGGATTGCAGTGCCACATGCGGCCCAAGGGTGCTCCCCGAATACAAGTACCATTACTATACATGTTGAAGTGATTCGTATTAAATATGTTGATGTATAATATAATAAAAAAACAAAACCACGTATTTCTGGAAACTACGGAAGCCATTTAGGTACGTGTGTTTTTTTCTTTCTTTTTTCTTGAAATTTCAAGATGCTTAGTTGAAATTTCAAGACTCAAAGTTTAAATTTCAAGTTAATACCTTGACATTTCAGCTTAGTGCGGTGGCATAATAGGGCCATCGTTTTTTTTCTTGAAATTTCAAGTAGTAATTTGAAATTTCAAGATAGTAAGTTGAGATTTCAAGATGTCGATCTTACAAATTCAAGTTATTAAGTTGAAATTTCAAGATATTTTATTTGAAATTTCAACTTAATGATCGCGTAACAAATCTTGAAATTTTAAGATTCTATGTCGAAATTTCAAGATGCTGTGTTGAAATGTCAAGTTAATATGTTGAAATTTTAAGATGCTATGTTGAAATTTTAAGATGCTATGTTGAAATTTCAAGTTAATAAGTTGAAATTTTAACATACCACTAACGTAATATCTTGAAACTTCAAGATTTTTACGCGATCATTAAGTTGACATTCAAGCAAAATATCTTGAAATTTCAACTTAATAACTTGAATTTATAAGATCGACATCTTGAAATCTCAACTTACAATCTTGAAATTTCAAGAAAAAACAACAAAAACAGATGGCCCCATTATTCCATTATTTCAAGATACCAATTTGAAATTTCAAGATACGATGTTGGAATTTCAAGATAATTAACTTCAAATATATTTTCATGTCGTATGATAACACCACATTATCTTGAAATTCAAGAAAAAAAGGAAAAAAGCATGGCCCTAAAACGCTTCCGAAGGTAACGGTAAACCGATCTCAAATGAATATCAAGGAAACCAGTAAGTTTTCCCGTTACAAATACTTTCTGTGGGAGTAATGATCTCCTTTGCTCTAATTTCACTTTTTGGAAGTGGACCTTGGTAGGCGCTACATAAATTCGCATACATCAAATGTTATGACGGCTCGAACATTAACCTGTATTCATTACCGCCATGTGACGTACGACAAGGGAACGTCAACTATATGTTAAACTGGCTTTTTCCATGTTGTCAAAGTTTCAGATCAAGTTTTGAGTGCCACATAAATCTCTAAATAATAGTTCTAATAATAGTTCTAGTTGACAAAGTGTTGAGAGATCTGAATGAAAATTTCTTCACTATGAGTGAGTGAGTGAGTTTAGTTTTACGCAGCTTTTAGCAATATTTCAGTAATAACACAGCTGGGGGCACTAGAAATGGGCTCCGCACATTGTATCCATGCGGGGAATCGAACCCAGGCCTTTGGCATGAAGAACTATCGCTTTAACTACTAGGCTACCCCACCGGCCCTCTTTGCTGTGAACCATTACCCGTAAAAGGTATAAGTTTAACAGAGTTTGTATCAAATAATGTTCACCTCCTTTTTGTCTTTCACATGCAAACGTAATCAAGATCGGCGGATAAGGGAGGATTGCCATACATTCATGCACAACCACATGTCTAATAACCTCTGTCTTCATCAAAAACCCAATTGCGTAGATTGATGCTCATACTGTTGACCACAGGATTGTCTTGGTCCAGACTCAATTATTTACAGACCGCCGCCATATAGCTGGAATATTGCTGAGTGCGGCAAAACCTAAACTCACTCCTCACTTCATCAAACACCCAAGTCGCGGGTACACTGGAACAATGTGGGGGAGAAACAATAAACAACATAACCCCTTAAAACCTAATGTCCCTCCCTCCCCCAAAATATATAACCCAACAAAAACAAACAAAACAACAACCCCAAAAAAAAGCAAAACAAAACAAAACAAAACAAAACAACCTCAACCAAGACACCGAACACCTCAACACAACAGCTGTGAAAGAAAAACAAATCAAGACAAAGAAAATCCTGACCACCATCCGTCAGTTTGATATACGCGTGTTCGTTTACTGTACATGGTATATATCTATCACTCCCTCCCTCCTCTCTCTCTCTCTCTCTCTCTCTCTCTCGCTCTCTCTCTCTCTATATATATATGTATATGTATATATATATATATATATATATTATATATGTATATATATACACACACACACACACACACACACACACACACACACACACACACACACACACACACACATTATATAAATATTCTGAAGGTGTATAAGCAATAAAGTCCAGGTATTTCTTCTTGCCAAAACTCCCTTATCTAAACAAGAACTTTCGCCGTTCAACGGCTCCTCGGGTGTACTGGTGTCGTCATAGGCGACGCATTACGGTATACAATATGAAAACATGCTCAGCTAATAATCTGTACATATTGAATGATATGGATATTAGCAAAGCAATATATTCATATACAGACCTTGGACTTCCTGCAGCGCCAGGCATACGACAATCGCTGCTGGGATTATAATAGAAACTGCGTGTTTCCAGCATGGTGTTAGAGCAAGGTTGTATTTTCCCTAGCCTGCGTCTTGCTCTCCAGCTCTGCCTCCGCTCCCTACACCCGCAGGACTGTTCTGTGATGATGCTGTGGTGGCTGTTACGTCTCCTTATAATACGTAGGTATCCTCAGTGACCTGCTGATCGTGTTCATTAAAAGTCCGCAAGCTTAACGCTATTTGACAAGGTATTAGTGCGGAAAACGCCCGGAGCGCGTCGAGGGCTTGCCGATTTGTTTGTTTTATCTACGTCATCCGTGACATCCGTCTTTACTATCCATCAACTTACACGCGTGCATCCGGGTGCAAACGTGTTTGTGTACACCCATAGGTCATGATGCCTTTCTGGTCACTGTACCCGTAGAGATCCGGGTTAGAAGTGGTCTTCAGTAACCCATGCTTGTCGAAGAGGCAACTAACGGGATCGGGTGGTATGGCTGGCTGACTTGGTTGACACATGCCATCGTATTCCAGTTGCGTAGATCGATGCTCATGATGTTGATCACGTGATTGTCTGGTCCAAGGTTGATAGTTTACAGACTGCCGCCATATAACTGGAATATTGCTGAATGCGGCATTAAACGACAGACGAACAAACCAATCTGGTTATTGTGGTCTCGATGTCATTTGCGGCAAAAGTCGCAGCAAGCATGCCCATTTTTCAGTCATCTTTCAGTCACCAGAAAACATGTAATGTAAAGAACTCGTCATTACGAGTGAAGGCATAACATTAAGCTGTCAACGTGTGGTTTGCTTGATCAGCAGTTTTCTGTATTATCTAAGGTGCTGATAGGTATTTGTGATTAAAGTCTCTGGTCCAGTGTTGTGACTGCTATGTGTGATATATGAGTTACAATCAATGTATATGCTCAGTAATGGAGTGAGTTAAATTTTAAGTCGCATCGGCGCTACATCAGCCATATATCGACGAGGCAAAGAATAGGAAACATACTGGCAAACAAGGATAAGTTGAGCACCGACCTGACAATTGACCTGTATTAGCATGTATGAATGTCGCCCACTGGCGCTTGCTATTGTCAGCGAAGGGGCCCCAGGTTGTCCGCGACTTGCTACACCGACCACGTGAGAGTCTTATGAGCAAAGGCGTGGCAGCTACGCGCGGAATCAGTTTCATCGTCTACCCTACATCTCCTCTACCTTTCACAAACCAAATGGGTTTGCTCATTGCCGTGCGCCGCCTACTTCTCGTAAACGTGTTCTCAGCGCCGGTCCAACATATCCTTGTTTGCCAGTAAGGTGTATATATGGTGAGTGTTTAATAACCTGATAATGGATTAAGGTTATTGTTGTACACATAAATACTCACTTCGTTATTACAGTCAGTTGTTTAAGTGTTGTCTGTATATAGTTAGGTCAACGTGAGATATAGGTTGAAATATATATATAGTAAGATTCGACAGACAGATTATGAGATTAAGGTATCATCAGAAATGATTTGCCGTCTCTATTCCACCCCTTTGATCTTTGAGTATGGTCGTAACATATTAAAATCAAAATTTCGCAGAGTTCGGTGGAATATGATAATGTTTCAGTGAGCCGATATTGTGGTTAGGTTTTCTTATTTTGCCAACTCAGCTCTTAAAGTATCGTCTCAATAAATTAAGGGAAATGCGCAGAATAGGCTGGAATATACCATTTTACTGAGCAGTTAATGTGGAGAAAAAAGTTATTGTAAAAAATCGCGTTTTTATTCATTAATGTGATGTGGTTTTGGGGTGGACATTTCTAAGTTGTGGTATTTTGTGCACGATTCGTATAAACTCCAAAGACAAGAAAATAATTTATGTAGTAAGTATAAAGATACTTGTTGGAATGTGTGTGTGAAAATTACACTGTTACGATGATGTTGTGTCCAAAGACACATGCCAATTAGATTTTATTTAGAATGTTGACATTTCGTTAAACATAATCCTGATTCTAAGATACATATTCAAAATACAGAATTGATCTGCAATAAAATATATCAGTTACAATTCATTTTGCATAGGCTGTACCCTTACACTTTGAAAGCTTCCTTTGAATTTATTCTGTAAGAAATGTTCAACTGGTGGCTCAGATTGTCACTTATGATTCATTAGCACTGAATTTATCATTCATGAATCTCACAATGATATGTATGTGTAACAGCGTCACTGATGAGCCGGGGCGGTGGGTAGCCTAATGGTTAAAACGTTCGCTCGTCACGCTGAAGACCCGGGTTCGATTTCCCCACGTTGGTACGCTGTGTGATGCCCATTTCTCGTATCCCCTGCCGTGATATTGCTGGAGTATTACTAAA